GTGATTACAATCTTTCAAATATTGCTATGGAGAGAAATATGGGGAAAGTACTAATAAGAACTAGAAATTGATTGGGGATAGGAGGCTCTTTTTTTGATCTTCAAAATGCTTTCTTTCATTTGCTTATGGTGTAGAAGAGTAGCCTTTAAGGGGTGAGGCTGCAGATTTCCAGAGAGGGGTGAATTCTGTATTGGCGTCATCATCATCAAGTCAACCAGGAAATCTTCCACCGTGTCCTGCTACTCAGGAATCTTCAGTGGCCCCCAGGATCCATTTTATTGCACCATAATTTTGTGCCCGCCCCCTTTTTAGATGATGTTGTCACTTGGGACGGTGGCATACAAACTCTGTTTCAATGTAAAAATTCATCTCTTGCACTAGTAGGTCAGAGCGCTTCATTTCACATCTCAGCTCTCAATGCATGAGTAGCCACGCAGCCTCAGGTCAAGTCCCCTTGTGGCACTGACTGTCCCTCTCCTAATCTATAAAATGAGCGCTTTCAAATCATTTGTAAGGAATGCATGTGGGGTGAACAACCATCCCAGTTTGTCCACGACTGAGACACATCCTGGAATGTAGGACTTTCAGTGCTAAAGCCGGAAAGCTCCATGCAAACTGGGATGAGTTGCTTATTCTATGGGACATATTGCAAGCAAAACATTTAGCACTGTGCTCTGCATAACAAATACTACATTACTCCCTCCTTCCTAAACATGCTTTACCTTTCCCCTCTCCCTTTATACCCTCCCTCTCCTGTCACCCCATTGCTTACCACTGGAATTGCTTACCCTCTTTCCTTTGCTTATTACAATTCTAATTCATCTTATTTCCTTGAACAAACTGAGCATTCTTGAGGGTGGGCTCCATCTACTCAAGATTTGTATCCCCGCAGCTCTGGACATAGTGCCTGGCATGTGATTGCAAGGAACCCCATCCATTTTTGTTGATTAATGTTTATCTTTCACTTAGATAAAAGTCACATCTATAACTACATTAAGTGTGCAGGAAACACCTCACCCTGCAGATATTTGCTGCCTAGGCAGAAACCTCATGTCCTATTGGCAAGACCTACTGTCACATGCCCTGTAATAAGCCTGTGGGACCACAGATTTACCTTCACGTTGACTATTGTGCTGCTTCAGTATTTTCTAGAAGGGACAGATTGTTCAGAGGAACCAAACTTTCTTTTTTATTTCTTACAAAATAGTTCAAGGAGTTTTTGTAGGTCTTGCCAAAAGAAATGTTGATAGGGCAAGGTCATGTTTTCATGCTCAGCAGAACGTTTTAGAATGTTCTTTTTGGATGAGATTGTATTTCATTATTTCTTTTGTGTAAATATAACACTTAATTACCAACACTAAGAAACCATTCTCTAAGTACTAAATTGCATATTAACAAAAGATTTGAAATGGATTTGAGTTTCAAAGGGAAACAGAAGAAATTGAACACATGTATCTTTAAACGATAATTACACAGTTGAAAATCATATAGTGAGCATAATTTTGCAGATTCAATTTACTTGTTATTGGAGGTAAGACAGAAGATTAATCCCATAAATTTTAAAGCATCTGGATTTGTTTTTTCAAAATTGGATTTAAAATTTGATAATTTCAAATTTAGAAGCTGTGTTCATTCCCTATTTCAATTGGCAGGTTTTTTTTTTTTAGATATAAGCCATTTTTAAGGTAACAGTCTCAGAAAAGTTTAATAACAATCCTTATTTTGTTTATGTTTTTCCATCCACTACAACTAGAACCATGTGTAATGCTTATTACATTTTCCGTGTCATTCAGAGTTCACTGAATCTGGGACCCAGCTATAACATGTAGATAAAATTACTAATGTTCTTTCCTGTTAATGCAAGGATACGTTATTCCCTCTATTCCAATTTTTAAAATAAAAATCACATCAATAGGGTGTTTAAATATGATTCTGGAATGACTGACAGGTTCTGAATGCAATTTAGAATGATCAAAAATTCACTCCAACAACCTAAAGGGAAGAAGGAAAAGAAAGGTCTAAAGTCAATCGTGGTATCTACCTGAGAAGGGCAGGATGATGAAGTCCAGCAGGTGTTTTAGTACCAAACCCTCCTCTTAGGTTGCACAGAGGCATAGCCTCCCTGGACTCTGGACTATAGCAAGTAATCATGCCCCACAGAATGTCTGAATGACCAAGGTTTTCTGCAATCTGGAGTGATTCCACCCTGCCCAGATCCCTTCCTGGTCATATTGAGGTATGATTGAAAAATATAATGCATTTAAGCTTTTTAAAACAATTACAGTAAAAGACACATAGCAATTAACCCCCCTCAAAATACTTTGAATGCACTTATCCTGTTGTTCTTGCCACTTTCTGAAGAAGTTCCAGAGGTCCTCTTTCAGGAGTTTCCTTAGTTGAGCTCTTGTGGCTTTCTGGATGTCCAAAGTCAATTCAAAACACCTACCTTTCATGATTATTTTGACTCTGAAGAAGAGTCAGAAATCGCATGGGGCCAGATCTGGTGAATGAGGACACACTGAAATATTGTTATGAGCCTGTCTTTCCACTGGCTGGCACTTGGCAACAGCATTCACTACATTTTTGATCAAACCTCATAAAGACACTGACAAAAGAGGACTTCTAGAACTGCTTCAGAAAGTGGCAAGAATGATGGGATAACTGTGTTCAAATCTAGGGGTGAGGGATTGCGAGAGGGATTAGTAGAAATGTGTCTTTTCTTTCTAATAAAGTTTAAAAAAAAAAAAAATCTAAACATTCACCGTATATTTTGATCACCCCTTGTATATACACATTTATGCTGTATTAAATCAAAACAAAAATGAAAACCCTGCACAGAATTGTTAGATACCCTCAATTTAAAATACACTTAGTACATTTAGTATAATTGACCTGTTTTTTCATGTAATACGTAGCAAAACTGATTTTTTATTAGTAGCAATGTGATGCTACAAAAGAGTGATTAAGAATATGAGCGTTAGAGTTGGGCAAGCCTAGCTTTAAGCTATGTTCTAGCCCTCGTTATCTTGGTCCTCTTGGCCAAGTGACTCTCACGTTCCGGCCCACTACCCTCATCCCTCAGGCAGGACGAGGGTCCCTGCACAGGTTTGATGAAGCTGACATGAGTGGCTGGGTAACAAGCACAAGAAGACTGTGATGCTAATGCCACCGAGGCAGGGCTGTCACACAGTGACAACACAACTTAGCATGGCCATACGGGTGGTTGGCAAAAGCAGGTGCTAGAATTCCTATTTTGCAGACAATGGAATTAGGATGGATAGTGATTGCTAGGGATAACAAGTATGCCCTACGAGCCAGGCTTTGTCCCTTATCACATTGTCACTGTGACCTGGCAAGGTGGCTACTATGACTTTTCTCTCTCTCTATAGACGCTACAGCTGAGGCTTAAAGGTTAAGTGACTTAACTGCTCTTGTCCAAGGGCAGATAAGTAACAGTGTTGCCCCATTCTGTGTAAACCACAATATAAAACTTTAAGCTAACCTAAATTTCTCTTTTCTACAGAGTCAAGCTGAGCAGGCTTCATGGCATGTTAAGGGCTGTAGAGAATCAAGCACAGTGTGTAAGAAGTGACACTTTGGGTTTAGAGCTAGGCAGAAAGGTAAGTGAGGCCAGGTCTTCTAGGCTCTGGAGGTTCTAGGCCTTGGCATGGAACCAGGTATCAGTGATGATATCTAGCCTCCATGGAATAAAGCATAACTAGTACAGATAGCACAGTGGGGCTAGGAGACCATTCCCTTCCATCCACCTGAATCTGGACAACATCCCAGGGTCATTCCTCCTTCCACTGTTCTAAGAAAAACAGAAATAAAATAGCAAAAACCCTAGCAATCTCTACAGCTCCAGGCCAGAGCACAAATGTATTAGATCCCATGGCCAAATTTAAGCTTTCCCCCACTCTGACCTTATTAATGCAGAGGACTCTAATACTGATTATGCCCTAAGCAGGCTGTGAAGAGTTAACCTCTCAATTGGGTTATTTTGAGAAGTGAGTCTGGCTGAAGCCTACTTGCCAAGGTCAGAGTAACTTGCACCCAAATTCCGTTCCCACATCTAAAACTTTCTGACTAGAAGGGCAGTGTTCTAATTACAACCATATATTTTGTCTATTCTGTTCCTAATTGGAGAATGCTTTGTCTTGTCCTTTATGAGCCTTGTTTACATTCATTCACATAGAAACTGCATGTAGCTCGCCTTTACCCCAGTTGATTGCCAAGAACAGTCAGTGCCTGGGACTGACCAGCACCTTTGTCGGTTATACTGGCATTGGTTGTCCTGGCATCCCACTTTCTCTTTCTTAGTTCTGTCTCTTAGTATATTTTTTCCCCGGGCCTGCATCACACACTGGGCGGGTGGGGACTAGAGACTCACTGCAAGCGTCTCTAGCATATTAAAGAGTCATAAATATGGACCACATCTCATACATGGAATTTAATCACAATGAACTCTAGGAAAGTCCAGTGCACCACTAGGAAACCCTTGAGATGACTCAGCACCCTGTCAATCATCCCTGTCAATCCTACCCAGAGTCTTAGAGCCTCCAGGCTGGGGTACACATCTTTTTAAATCTGAAAGCCTGGTTTATCTGTGTGCAGTGCCTTTTCCTTTGTGGTCATCCTGACACCACTTGTCTTTTCGTGCCACAATTTTATTTTTGGTGCCGGGGATTGAACTTGGGACTTGGGACCTTGCGCTTGCGAGGCAGGCAGTGGAACCATCATGCCACATTTTTGTTGGCACAGAACTTCCCCAAGCACAGCTTCCCATGATGGTCAATAAGTGTAGCTGTTTTGTATGTTACTCTTAGGAGTATGCTTTACAATTCTTTGTACACAAGAGCTTGGAATTTATCTGTTGGATCCATTCCATGGTATCATTTGTTGAGCGAGCTTGGAGACAACAGACAACACCAGACATCAACAGCCAGAAGCCCAGCCAGAATCCCAGCTAGAAAGGAAGGTAACTCCCTGTCTGGGGAGATTTTCTTCTCCTTTTCATAAGTGATCAATGGTGTTTATTGTCAACACGGGGATACAAGATGACTAAACTGTGGAGTGAAGGGCTTTGACCTTTGCGGGGGCAAGAGCATTCCTTCTGATCAATTGGGGTTGTGTTTTGCTGTTGGTCTTTGTAGCATGGAGATTCCCTTCTAGTAGCCATGATTTCCCATGTCTTGAGGGAGCTGGCAAGGTTCATGGCTCTTGTGGGCAGTGGGGAACTGGGGTTGTGATGCTTTAACCTGAACAGAGTCCTCTCAGTGGCTTCCTTGAAGTTTCCCATGGGTCTGGGTCCACCTGATATTATCAGTTTGCTTCAGGGATTACAGTAGGCAGCATGCCCTGGATCATGTAGATTTGAGTGACTACTTTGGTAACACCAACTTTGTGGGGTGCCCTCCTATGGCTTGCTTTCCTTTCTTCTCTCTCATGAGGAAACTCCAGTCCCCTTCTTGTTTCTGATGCTTTTGTTTATTAGAGAATTCAAATTCTTTGGCTTTTTGATGCTGGTCAACTGAGGGGAAACAGAGTTGAAAAGTATAGCACTACCCTAATGGTTCCTTGTGTGGGGAACAAAAAGAAAAACCTGTGTGTTTTAAGTGTTCACACCAACAGAGGCTACAGTGGCAGCTGTGAAAAACAGCAGTGGAGACTGTAATTCTTCTGGGTCTTACAGCTGATTTATAGCTGTCTCCTGGGATTCCTTCTCTAATGCTGGTTTTCTCTCTCCATTATACTCAGTTTTGCTTTTGTTGTGATAGGATTGTAACCTGTGTTTGATGACTGAATTTTCACTGTGCCTAGCTTTTCATTGTAAAGTTTTGTCACCCCATGCATATCATTTTGTGGCTTGATCTAGCAGAAATGTAAAAAATTGTCAGTGTCTTTGGGGTCTCTCAGGGGCGAGGGACTATTATCTCTCTTTAGACAGACATCCCAAGTCTCTTTATCATTGGCTTGAGATGCCCAGCCAGGAGAGCACCCCAGCTCTGGACTCCATGTCCAGAAGATGGGTTATGTTCATAGAAGGAGATAAAGTTAAAAAAAAAAAAGTGGTGCTGCCACCCACATAAGACCAGATACTTCTGGTCTGCGAGGAGTTTAGCTTTATCAGGGGACACTCTGAACTGGAACTGGACAGGGAATTCAGCCCCACCAGGTCACAGCCCTGGGGCTGAAAGTCTTGAGGTGCCCTACCAGGAGGTTCCCTGTAGTGTCCCCTCAAATGGGTCAGGGATGAACCTAGGGCTAGGCCTGTTGGGTTTTGTGGGCAGGAAGAGGTGTAGGAAACCTATTTTGAGGGATACGCCATCCATCCCATCTGTCTCCCTGTTTCCAAACTTTTTTTTTTGGTACTGGGAATCGAACTTGGGACCCTGTGCTTGTGAGGCAGGTGGCAGCACCACTGAGCTAAATCCCTGGCCCTGTCTCCCTGTTTAAATGCCTTCTCAGATGGATATTCAGTGGTACAAAAAAATTGGGTAGATTTTCTGAGGATTTGGAAAAGTTTGCTGATGTTTTCTGTACCCTCACAATGGCTTTTGATCTGACCTGGAGAGATGTCCTGTTCATCCTGGTTGCTTGCTGCACATCAGTAAAATAAGCTCAGGTTTATGAGTGAAGGCTCCAATAAGAATCCAGCTGCTTTCCAACTTTGGTTAAAAAGCACTCTGTAAATAGATCCAGAGTCCAAGGAAGATCAGATTATCTAGGACAGTATTTTATTAGTCAGTTCCAGATATTAAGAGAAGGCTCCAGAAACTCCAAGAGGGCCCACAGCTGGCCCAATTGGCTTATTTGGTCTGCAGTAATTCTAAGAAACTAAAGTTAAATTTTTTTAAAAAGCAGGCTTAAGCCATGCTCTCCTTAATGAGTATAAAGCCCACAGCCCTAAGGAAAACTGAAGTGATCCAAAGATTGATAAAAGCAAATCAGAGGGCTTTAAACACAAGGTACAGGGGCACTGAACAAAAGAATGCCCTCTATGGCTGTCCAACCCTTGTTGGGCCTATCAGGATACGAAAGATCCTTGGTATTAGAGGAGAGACTACCCTTGTTCCCAGAGAGGGATGAGATCAGCCATCACCATAGTCGCCAGGGAAAAGTGCTCAAATAGCAAATGATGGTTCCTGAAGAGGCTTGCATGGCCCCCGCACAAAGATATCCTCATCACCTTCAGGAGCCTTGGGTGACCCTAGATGTAGCAGGCAAGCCACTGTGATACTGGGGCATCTTACTTGATTCTAATTTCTTACTGGGGTGAGCTTTCATCCCATTTCAAAGTTGTTTGGGCCTTGAAGGAATTAGCTTGTCAGCTTTCTTTAACCCCACTCTAAACTGCCATTTGGAAGATTTCCTTTTCCAAGATGCCTTTATGGTGATACTGGAGTGCCCTATACCAATAATTAGAAGAGATATACTCTTTATGCTCAGAGCCACTCTGTCATTCAAACCTCTGGGAATCTGTGACCTAGTTGTTAGGGACCCAGCCAACCTAACCCCATGGAACCCAATTTCTCTGCATTGAGCTAAACCCTAAGCATAGTATGATGGCACCTTGGGGAGGGCTGTGATGGACATTCTAGTAGTCATTTAGCTGAAGGACCTAATTTATTTCCTCACAGAAGACAGATTTAAGGAAAAGAGCTAAAGCCTATTATTGATAAAGTTTTGGCTACAGGGTTGCTGGCGCTATGACAGTCTCCATGCAAATCACCCATTTTACTAGTAGTCAAGCCATTAGGACAGTATCACCTCGTGCAAGATCTCAGAGCCATCAAAGAGACACTGGCACCTATTCTCTCATTAGTAGCAGACCCATACACCCTTTTAGCACAGATCCCAGGAGACACTAAATGGTTCTCTGTTCTTGATCTCAAGTTTGCCTTCTGTTTTTATCCCTGGGGATGCTAACTCCCAATACTAGTTTGCTTTTGAATGAGAAGATCCCTGAACAAGACTTCACCAACAGTATATTTGGACTATCTTGCCTCAGAGTTTTAGAGATAATCCGTCTTGTTTGCACAGGCTTTAGCTCAAGATCAGAGAGGTTTAAAGTTCAGAAGGAGAAGCCCACTACAGTATTCAGATTACCTCTTCATTTATAGCCCCACTAAGGAGTTATCTGATAAAAACTCTATCAAGACTCTCAATTTTATTAAAAAAAGGGGGGGGTTACAAGGTATCCTACAAAAAGGGGTTATAAGGCCCAGAGTTTTCAACAAAATGTGACATATCTGGAATACATTTTAACACCAGGACAAAGACAACTGTTCTCAAGGAGAACAGGCAACTCTATCTGTGTCCTCTAGAATCTAAATAGTAGCCAAGAGCTTTCTTGGAAATGGTGGGCTTCTGCTGTATAAGTAGAAACTCCATTTTAGAGTAACAGTCAGACGCCTATATGAGACAACCTGAGGACCAAAAACTGAATCCTTGAAATGAACAGCAGCCACTCAAGAAGACTTTGCCACCTTTAAATGGGCTCTCATGCAGTCCCCAGCTTTAAGAATCTCTGACCTAACTAAGCCCTTTTCTCTCTCCATAGCTGAAAAACATGGGGTATCCCTGGAAGTGCTAACTCAGTGTCCAGGCCAGGAAAACTGAACTGTTGCAATGACACTATGACGGTCTTAGACACGATGACAGTCTTAGTCCAGGAAGCTTCTAAAATAATCCCGGGACAAAAGCTCTTTGTTCTAACCCAACATCAGGTCAGAACTCAAGGGACATTAGTAGATGACTAGAGAAAAGCTCACTAAATATCAGGCCATCCTTATTAAAAACCCAGACATCTCTCTTCAGTCTTCAAACCATTGTAAATCCAGCATCCCCCCTGCCCAACTAACCAACAGGTAGAACAAGAATGTAAACAAACCATTACACAAAATTATGGCACCTGCCCTGACCTGAAGGATCAACCATTGACAGGGATGGCTAGCACATGTTTCACTGATGGCAACCATTTCATAAAAGATGGAGTTAAGAAGACAGATTATTCCATAGCCTTACCCAGGTCACTGAAGCAAGAAGACATCTTCCCTTCTGGGACTTCTACCCAAAAGGTAGAATATATTGTCTTTACTTGGGATCTTCAACTTGCCTTGGGCAAGAGTGTTGACATATGTACTGACTCTAAATATGCCTTTCTGGTCTTACATGTGCATACAGCCATCTCAAAAGAGGATGGCCCAAATGAAAAGACCCTCATACAACCCTTCTAAACACTCTTTCAGTCATTAAGGTACAGGAAATTGTTAATATTCACCTCTCCAAGATGAAACCCAAGCTACCCAAGACACCAGAAAGCAAAGAGACCACAAATCTCATAAACTGTTAAACAGTGGACAACCACAAGTTTCTTTTGGGAAAGGAAAACAACAACCAACCTGTTGAACCAGGTAAGTAAAATGCTTTGTTCCCTCTAAGTAAATTGTGTGGCTAGTCTTACTGCTGTCTTGTTTGATACACCTGAAGTCCTTTCCCCAAGTTACAATATGACCTCTTTTGGTTTTTTTCCTGTTTCTTTTGGGATCCTCCTAGATGATTCAAAAACTACCTCTAATAGAGATAATGAGCAGTTAATTCCTTATATAAAACCTTAAAGCTAATCACATCTTTCTCCTAGCATTAATAACTACCTAAGAACTTGACAAATAGCCTAGAAGAAGTTGCCCAGAGTATTGCTGTCCTTCAAGATCAAATAGGTTCATTAACAGAGCTGGCCATCCAATATTGTAGGAGCCTAGTTCTCCTAACCACTAAAACAGAGGGGATTATGTTTGTCTCTAAAAGAAAAATGTACTCCTTATGTAAATCAGTCTGAAATAGTGAGACATATAGCACAAAAACTGGCTGACCATGCTTCTAAGATCCACAAAAAGCTACCTGAGCCATGAATGTCCTGGGGAAATATCTAAAATTGGAAATCTTAGTTACTGTCTTAGACATGGCCTTTATTAATGCTTGTCACAACCTTACTATTTAGCTCTTACATACTTAATCTTCTAGTCAAATTTGCTTCTTCTTGTTTAACAGATGTTAAGCTACTAATGATGGCCCAAGCCCAAGATCAAAACCTGCCTACACAACTAAGGCTCATCCGAAACCATGAGATCAGACAGAGTGAGGGTTCCTTGGTCTCCACATAGGCAGGCCCAGAGCACCCATCCAGCAAGAAGTGGCCATGGAATCCTTCCTCCTTCTGCAACTCTTAAAGATTTTGGGAATCTGTTCTCCCAGGGAATGATAGCACAGGTAGCACAATGGAGGCTGCAAGACCAATTCCTTACATCCACTTGAATTTGGACAACACCCCTAGGTAATTTCTCCTTCCATCACTGTTCTAAGAAAAACAAATAAAATACTGAGGAGCTTAAAAATCTCTAACTCCAGACCAGACCTTTTTTTTTTTGTGGAACTGGGGACTTGCACTTGCCAGGCAGGTGCTGGTGCCACTAAGACAAACCTCCAGCCCTAAAATTATTATTATTATTATTATTATTATA